CAATGATGTCTCATCAGCAGTCACAAGGATAGCATCATGGGGCAATGTGGGTGTATCTTGTAGTAGTTGGAGCATGTGAGTTGTGTCTTTCACAAAGCTTGGAATTGCGGGTAGAAGTGGTTTTAGTAGTTCATCCACGAAACCAGAAAGACGTTCCGTCAAAGTCCCAATGCCAGACACAATTGGACGTCCTGGAACAGGCCTACCTTTCTTATGTATCTTCGGTAGGAGATAGAATCGGCCTGGTTGAGGATGATTAGGGACAAGTTTTCGGAGGACGTGAAAGCGAGATACATATACATGGATTGCATAATAAAAAGTGGAAGGATGGCAATAAAATATTATATTCTTTCAAGAAAGCCAGTACTTAACAGTATTTGTGGGATGCAGGGAACAAGGGTTCCATCTAGTAAGCAATATTGGTACTGCAACTGCGGAATGGTCAGCTAAAGTTTCATATGGATGGTGTGGCGTTTATTTCGTATGAACCTGATATCATTTACTTCACGTCAAATGGAGTGACGTATAGTTGATGTAAAATACACGTACACTTTGGTGACCTGATTATAGGAAGGCAAAGTTTACGTAAACGCGATGTCATTTTCATGGCAACCGCAAGAAATTTACATTGTTTGCAAAGAATTGATATCTTGTATACGTAAACATGCTGCTTGGGAATAGTTTACTAAGAGATGACAATGTCGACCGATACAAACCTATACTGTGGAAACAATTGCAGATGTATAGGTTTACATAATTTAAGCTACGGTTAGCTTGAAAGTGATACCTCTTAGTCAAATATTATTTAAAATATGAAACTTGCCTGGAAAGTTTGTTCATCTTCATTGAACGCACATCTCTTTTTTTATATAGTTCCCGTCTCTATCAATGACCTTTTCAAACCGATGAACTAGAGCACTATATTCACCATTATAGAAGTCCTCATCCTCGTTGCACGACTACAGTCGCACAGCCTTCATCGTCTCACTTGTCATTCTGAAAATATTGCCTTCGTAGTCAGATCTTCAAGGCACCATAAATATGATGATCTAGTAATCAGATGTTGCATGGTCCGAGCTTTATGAAAGCTTGTTCATCCATATAATGGGGCCACCCTGACCACAGAGGCAATCCCAAAAGGTTTTTACGACACAATTTCATGTTCCCACTGCATTATCTGATAACCTCAGATTTGAACTTGATAATTTCATTTTGAAAGAAAATATTTTACATGGAAGAGGTACGTAGGACAACGAGAGGAAATCCCGTCACGTGAAACATGATCGTGGCACTGAGATTGCATGTCGTTCTTTCCTTGTCTTAATTAAGAATGAGGGTTTAGGTATTCGCCTCACTTCAGATGCATACCAGCTCAAGTGGTCAAAGAGAGGCTGCGCTTCAGACTCCGATTTGCTTTAACATATTTGCGCATGATGGCTTCTAAGAGTTCTGAAGATAATCGAAATTTGGCGCTCTGGCTCTGTTTTCGAGATTTGAGAGGGAATGAATGCGCCTGTGAAAATAGCTGCACGTGTTCTTCCCCTCTGCCTGACGAGTCTGTGGACTGTACTCGGAATTTCGGTTATAGTTGCCTAAGTATCACGAATAGCGTATCGATCTTATGAGACTGTCGTCACGTCAGTGTCCCTGGTGTATCCAGTGGCGTGTAGTTTCTCCTAAACCTCCTCCATCATAAGCAGATATTACCTGCAAGGGAAAATTATGAGAGGAATGAGGAAAATTATGTCTGAATATCGGCCCTGATTTTTCACTTCCTTTTTTTGGATTTTTGAGATGCTGTGAACGTAAGTTATGCTTTGAGACGTTAAATCACATGAAAAAATTTCCGCTTCCATTATAGAGGTGGTACATTTCTTTGATGCCACATTAGATTTTGGACTCCATATATTTTAGGATACATATTCAATTCTGATTGCAGGGAAAGAAAAACATTTGCTTCTGAAGAGCGTGCAAGGCATTCATGAGAACAAATGAGGAATGAGTGAATTTGTAATTCTACTGTCATACATTTGATTCATTCAATATCTTATACTTTGCCCGTTTTCTGGTCGAACCAGTCTTCTCTATTCTCTGCTACTTCTGCAATTCTCATGGCCGTGTCGTTCCATGTCGGCTCCTGCAATGCGAAGAAGGAAAATGCATCTATATTAAGGGTAGATTAGTCGAGGTGTCAATAGTCGAGCTAATGAACGAAAAGAGGGAGTCGATTTCAAGTGATGAGATATGGCCAGTATACTTAACGAGTTCTTCGCTTCCGTTTTCACTGTGGAGTCCGACTCAGCACCGACTTTGGAGGAGGTGACCTCGGCGCGCATCGGGATATTTCTGTAACCGAGGAGACGATCGTGATATTATGATAGGGAAGTTAAAGATTGGCAAGGCGAAGGGCCCCGATGAGATTCCTATGAGAGTCATTAAGGAAACCGCGTTAGAAATATCGATTCCGCTAAGAATTATATTCTATTACTTAATGCTTACCATTCCTCCATCTTCTATTTTTGCTTTCATTTACGTGAACTTATTGGAGGATTTGTACTAAGTTACTTGTATATTTACCACAATCATGAATTTCTTTTCATGGGATGGCTCACTTTTCATACTTCGGGAAAAAGGACCGCAAGCATGTGCGCGGTACTCAAGAGTTCTTCCTTAAAAATACAAATGTGATTTTTTGGGGGGGAACCCAAGGTAAATATACAATAGGTTTCATTAATTTCTCTGGTTATTGGAATCAGTAATTTCCATTTTCATTAACTCCTCCTTCAGGGAATGCTGCCAGCTATAGAAAAGAAGTAAGTAATATTGATAAATCACTGAGTAGAAAATAAATTAAATGGTTAATCTCAAATGGTGTGAACAGATGACTTCCAATTCATTAAAATGCTTGATATACGAAGCTATGTGGCATATCTATGGAAACAAGGACTAACCCAAGATAACCGAGTCCCAGGTCAAATTGGCAGCGTCTCCAGAAATATCCCCAGCATCATGTCTGTATTATTTTCACTGTTTTGGCCTCTTCTTTTATAATCCTCTACCTTTTTTCCCATTTCCTCTTTTCCCATTCTTCTTTACGCTTACACTCACTTTGGGGTTCTTATCTACCCTTAATATAGATGCATTTTCCTTCTTCGCATTGCAGGAGCCGACATGGAACGACACGGCCATGAGAATTGCAGAAGTAGCAGAGAATAGAGAAGACTGGTTCGACCAGAAAACGGGCAAAATCAACTGTTTATCTCAAGAGACATGGAATGCCCTCACCGGCGTTTTACCTTTGTCTAAGGACTCTTCTCCCTTCACCGATTGGGGATATGCCTGGGATGGTAAGTGAATTAAGTAGGAGAGACCCCATGCTTACACTAATGGAGAGCGACTTTATTCGGTGAACGTTCTATTCCTCTTTTGTATTTTCACCCTCGGTTCAAACTGATTAACTTGATAGTTGAATCAGCCCATTTTGAAATGGAACTGAGTGGGACTTTTCCTTTAATCTCTTCAATTGGAGAGAGATGGGAAGAAAAATCGAGATGAATTGACGGGGGGCGGGGAGGAGTTGAATGCAGGTATTGAAGCAACGTGTGACAGCAGCTATGCTGAGTCATATCCTTTGCATGAAAGTAGTAAAACCTTAGGAGTTTGGAGCATGCCTACTGGAGCATGCCTGCTTCTGGTCGCGGTTTAATATACCATGCAATCACTATATTCCATTTAATTGAAAGAGAAAATGTTTCATTCAACAAAGAGATCATGAATGTGACGCGCTTTAGTACCTATGAATAATACATATTTTTAAATATTCATTAAGATAAATTTATATGGAGGACTAACGCTATCTAGCAAATAACTCAATTCAAGGTTGAGGACACTTATACTATGAAAGTGACAGAGGCATGGGGACTTGATGGATATTGATACCCAAGGGATGCTCCAAGCGGATGTTCAACAGGGTGTGCCAACATGCTTTCTTATCTCTGTTAGTCCGAGAACGCATCATACAATTTATCAGTCACATTAGATATTCAATCAAGTAGCTTTACCCATTGTCACGCGAGAATTCTGATTATCATCAGCGAGTTCAGAGAGATTGAGAGACGTTATGGGATTGCTCATTCTGTTAATAGGACATTATTTAAGTTTTGGCTTTTAATGAAGGAAAATCTGCCTTGCGAAAATTTTCCCCACGAAAAAGAATACTGAGAGGGAGTGTACAATGTTTGAAATGGACTGTGGATGCGCCAGCACAGCCATTCATTTTCTGTTCCGCAGTAATAGTGTGAATGGTTTCATGAAGTAATATGAAAATCAATTTTCAATGCCTTTCCCTTCCTTCAATCACCCCCACCCATTCTTATGAGACTCACTAACGTTAGGCATAGGCCTAACCAGCAGAAGTCTTCAGGTTACGCCAAGACCTACAATTTTTCTTTTAATAAAAAATAAATTCTCGATTTATGAGGCCAATTAGCCTCATGAGGATGAATCTGGTCTTCGAGACATCTCGCTGAGGACATGTAACATTAGACCGATTTGAGCCTCGTTTCGCTTTTCATGATCCAATTCAGTGAGACATCAAACTTTAGGCCTATCTGGAGTTCCTCAAACCATCTCGAATAGGTATGAGGAGGGAATGGCTCCAGGAAGCATGGAATCCATCGAGCGCGCCATCCTGTCGTATCAGGGATGTCCGGATAAGATATCTCTATATCCCACCATATCGATCAATCACTGCTAACCACCACTTCATTATCAGCTAATGCCATGAACTCAGCAAAAAAAGTCCCACACTTTGAAAAACGGAAGTGCTAGACGCTGATACAAAGGTTGAAATTTTCTTGAAACTGGCATAATTTTGGCGCTACATCCGGCAACACCGGATTATACCGGAGCCAGCCTGCAATCTAAGCCTAATTGAACAACAGATGTTTTTATTTTTCATTACGCGATTGTACATCTCAAACAACAAAAGGCCACTTTCCGTCTGCGAGTCCCATAGAGTGGCTGAAGACTCCAAGGGAGGTTGATGAAAGGGAAAGCTATTGAAAAATTTTTTTAGCATTTTTAAATGAATTTATTGTAAGACTTATTTACGATGTTTAGTATTTACGGATTAAGATAAAGATCTATCCCATGTTTAATCCAATCAATCAATCCAATCAATGTCCCTCGTTCCTAATTCGGAAACGCAACTCCGGATCGGAAGAAACTGACGTATCCTCCTCTCAGGCACTTGCCAAAGATTCGAACTTCAGGTAAAACTGTGACCAAAGGGATACTTCAAATCTCTAGTTTGGGAGGAGATGAAAAAGAAAATAATGATGTTGAAGGAGGGAAGACCACGACCCTACCTACGAGATGGTAGGGCCGAGTCCCTGATCAATCGGGACTAACTTCTAACTCCTCACTCGTCCTCTGTTGTTCACTTTAGAGGAGGGTTTTCCTAGATTGACAAGCGTCTACATTGGTCCACTAGGTTCCAGAAAACGCCTTTATTGGATGGTGCTGGAGGACAAAGTCGTTTCCTCTCAATTCGTACTCCAGTTTACAGCCCTTTTGACGTGTCTAATAAATGGGTGTGTAAAAGGATTACTTTTTCACAAACTACTCGTCACGACAGAGTTTTAATATTGATTTCGGCGACTGTCAACTGACATGGATGTCAAAACAGGGCTACGGCTAAGACGTTAGCAATTAGCCTTCATTATTATAGGCTACTTGCTAACATCTTATTATTATAGGGTGATTTGCTCAATATTGTTCAAACAGACGCTTGCTTTCCTTATATTAATAGATACAAATCCTAGGTCTACATGTTAGATCTAAACATGTATGCAATGGAAACACTGCAATTTCGTGATATATCCTGTTCATACAAGAAGACAGTCAAACTCGAATTCTTCATAGTCTTTTCTGCACATCAGAGGCCTAGCACTGCAGTGTCGCAATTAATTCTCTTGGTCTGTTTCCAGTGTCCAGAATGATCCATAAGGGGAGAAATGGTGTACACCGAGCATCCCTGGAGATAGTATTTTCCAATGCCTTAAGTGCACCCTTACTCTCTTATTAGGATAAAAAGGTCCTCCCATCTCCCCACTCATTTGCATCCAAGGTTTTCCTTTCGCCGTTTCGTCGTGTTTCTTGATTACTTCATCTTGTCATCTCCATGAATCACATTTTGTAATTGCATGCGATGAAGTTGAATTGCTTTTGGTATCTGGTGGGCCACATTAAATAATTATAGGCTGGTAACTCTCACAAGTATAGGGTGTTAAAAAAAACGCTCTACCGATTTCTATGAAACAGTTTCATAAATGCGACTAACAAATTTTAAATTGCATACACGATGACAGTTACAAGGTGTTGCAATGTATGTCGGCTTTTTTCAGCACCCCTGCCTAAGTTGTGCAATGCCCTTTAAAAGAAGAATTAAAGGTGCTTAGAGGTGGATCATTCCACCTTAAGTGACCGGTGCTCGACCGTCTCAGAATTCAATGAGTATTGGGAAAGGGTGGGATTATTTTGAAAATTGGCCACAGGAAAAAATGAAAAAAGAATATCTCTGTACTTCGAACAAAGGCCATGAAAAATGCGTTTTAATTTGATTGGGTAGGGAGTTAGAGTGTGGGGGGCACAAAATGGCCCGCAACCCCATAGATGCTAAATATCTGACTATTTGGATTATATGATGCCACCATCTTATTTTGATTGGACATAACTTTTCAAGAGACAGCTGTATGCAGCTGATACTGACATATCTTTTTTTCACGTTCCCCAGATGGTGCCGTATACCAATAGAGGGCATGGTCGCTAACTGGATGGCCCCCTGTGTTTGTCCTGAGCTACTTTTTACAAAGGAAAATTTCTAAAATGTTGGTTTTTATGTTAGCCTTTGAAACTTTGAAGGAATCTCTCTACCAAAAATCAGTTTCATCTGAGAGCCCATTCAAAAGATTTGGTTTTTAAGCCAATAAAAAATATACATTTAATCAAAACCAGTTCAAGGCCAAAGCTGGGAAACTACTCTAATTTAATTTTCAATGATAAAAAATAGACCATTCCCGATTTGAGGTTTAATAATCCATCGGCAAACTTTGTAATGCCACAGTGCATAGCTCAAAGAATTGCTTTGAGAAAAATCAGAACATTCTTTTCAAAACCTTCTGGAAAATTCCATTTCAAATCAAGCAGAGCCTGCCAGGCCAAAGTCTTTGATTTAAAAAAAAGAGGTCCTCCCATCGAAATGATGACAAATTGTAGCTCATTTACCTCTGTATCTGCAATTGTTTCAGAGAAATATAATCATAAGTGAAGGGTTTTAAAAAGGGTAATGGTGGTATTTGGTAATTATGCAGTTCTTGGGATCTGATTTCATGAAATTTTCTACGTTTAAGGTACATGCCTACAAGGACCTCAATTTTTAAAATACAGGTATTCCCAAAGAATGTTCGCTCTCATAAAACGGAGAGGCAAAAACTGAAATTTAGGCACAAAGTTACCCGTCCAAATGCACATCTGGGGACGAACTTTTCTTTAGAGATATTCCTTTTTGGTGCCATACTTTTTGTGGAGAAATTTTTCCATGATATATATATATATAAATCCTTCCACGGCACCTGCCGGTATTGGAGATATGAGGGGGGATGAACCACATCCCAGACCTCATACTCGTCTAATTCTGAAGGACACGGCGAAGGATGCTGGCCGTGCCCAAGATTGCTGTACGCTGGAGGATATCGAGTGATATTTCACACTCCAGCTTCCTGACATGTCCCTTGAGGTCTTTCAGGACAACGCCAGTTCTGCCTATGATGATCGGAACTATGGTGGTCTTCATTCCGCACAACTGTTCCACTTCCACTTTCAGTTCGGAGTATTTTTCCAGCTTCTCCCTGGTCTTCTCTTGGAGGTTGTTATCGGCTGGGATGCTCACATCTACGAGGAGGGCGGTCTTCTTCTCCTTCTTATAGATCGTAAGGTCCGGTCTATTGCAGCCTATACTGCGATCTGTAATTATAGGCATGTCCCATAGTATCTTGGTGGAGGCGTTCTCCACGACAGACTCTGGCTGGTGTTCGTACCACTTATCTGGGACTTCCAGGCCGGCTTGCTTTGAGACACACCAGTGCACATACTTGCACACTTGGTCGTGCCTATACAAGTACTCCCTCGGGGCTAGTTCGGGGCAGGCACTGAGGAGGTGGTGAACCGTTTCGGGTGGTCCATGACAGCAT